AAGGTGCCACTTGACCAAAACTTTGTTCCGCTGCTTCTGACCAACATGGCTACCCACCTGCATCTATCTCTTCCTATATGTAATGGTTGAGGAAATTCTGTTTCACTGTGTCTGAATAAGTGTGCTTGCAGCCTATACCTTGAATAAAACGTTGTTGGTGTTAAAGGTGCCACTGGGCTCAAACTTTGTTCTGCTGCTTCAGACCAACACGGCTACCCACCTGAAACTAGGCTTTTAAAAGTTTTGGGATTGTGGAAAATGGGGAAATGACATTGAAATGTATACGATCTCACTGTTCCCCAGTTCTGTCAAACCTCCCAATGTTTCCTCCACTTGATTACTGAAAAAGGCAAGTAGATGGCCGTTCCCCAAGGAAGATGATACCCCAACAAGCCAGCTTTACTTAGTATGTGCTACTGGAAAGTGGAGAAAACACTGGGAGGGCTGAGAGAAGAAGCGAAAATGGGCAGGAATTAACCAATACGAACACAGAACCTTCTGCAAGTAGTCCACTTTCCTCACTGATTCGGGTACGACTAACATTATCTAAGGCCATGCTTACATGGTTTACCACTAAAGCGACTACATGTCCCAGAATACCATGTTCAAGTAAACCGAATGTAACATAATTACTGTGCAATGCGCGCAGGAAGCTGTAGTTCCCAATCTTATAAGGACCTGTAAGGTTAACCAGCAAGGAAGCGATTAAACACCCCTCGCGATTATTTGCTTGAGTAACATTTTCTTGTTGTTGTAGTTCAGTCACACACACGCGTCCGACTCTTCGCGACCCCATGAACCAGATCACGCCAGGCCTTCCTTCCTGTCTTTCGCCGTCCTCTGAAGTTTGCTCAATTTCATGTTAGTTGCACATCTATGACACGGTCTAACCATCTTATCTCATCCATTTTCTTAGTCCGTAGCAGAACTAACGGATGTGCGAACCACTTTTCTACAACCAATTCCTTATTAAGAAATGCATCAATGTAGTCACCAGCTATTGGCCACTCCTAACATCACAAAACCTCTCGTCGATACAAGGGCCCGCCTATTTCAATCTCCCATCCAATTGAAAACTGAGGTTTCTCGCCTCTACGACCTTTGTAACCAATAGAATCCGACTATTATTTAATTATTCCGCCTAGCCGTTTATCTTCCTCTTTCACCCAACGAACCTGCTGACCACCCCCGAAGTGGTGCAATAGCCAATGAGATACATACTAAACTTCACGTCACGCTCCAGCAGCCAATGGGAAGCGGGCGCGCGTTTCCGGCTCGCGAACTCACAGTCGAGCTCGCACTAGTCGCTGTGGTGAAGACCTCCGCTCCGGCGGCCGTAAGATGGCGACCAGAGTTAAACGAAAATCAGGGACTGGTGGGACAGGACAGAGCGAAGGCGCTGACAACGCCAGCCGCGACAACCACCGCAGTAAAAGAACCGTGGGAACTACCAGACCGGAAGTGGGCTGTGGAGGAGATACAGACTCGTCGTTCGTGGAGGGTTCCATCGTCAGGATCGCCATGGAGAACTTCCTGTGAGTGTGAGGGGACACATGGGCGGCCGTTCAGCTGCGGGCCAATGAGGAGGCGGGGCGCGAGGATATGACATATGTGGGCGTGGCTCCTACTGTGGGGAGGCGGTGCCTTCAGGGAGCCTAAGAAGGCCCTTCTCACTACGAAGCGGGCTCTGTTTGAAAGGCTCGAGATTGCTGCCCATTTGGGGAGCCTGTGCGTGGACGCCTTCAGGCTCCCTGCCGTGATGTGCCCAGAGTTGGAGCCAGGTTGTATCGACAGCACTAGGTTTGCACCATAGACCTAAATGACTGCTATTTACACAAGGAAGTTACTGTCCTGTGTACAGTTACTCTTAAGTATGATCCTTTGATTCCAGCCCCTCTCTCCAGCAGCCAGCACGGACGACAGGAAGCAGCCAGACAACCATCCATCTTGCTTGGGTAAAGCTGCAGCGGAGACCTTCGCTTTTACTTGCCATTGCTGGGGTCCTAAGGGAGTAGAGAAGACTTGGCACTTCCTTTGTTATGCCTGGGACCAGGCAAGCAAAGGACTGAGTTGTGAGGCTGATTCCTGTCCATGCTTACCTTGGAGTAAATCCCATGGAGTACAGTGGGATGGACTATTTAGTAGCAAAAGATGGGATCAGGGTTGCCAACAACCTGGGGAGGGGGGGAAATACCCTGACCTTAAAGAGGCTTGATGTGTGGAAATGGGCCAGGTGAAGCTTTTTGTGGCAGGGATATGAATATCATTTCATAAATAACATCTCTTCTAATTTCTATTATGCAGCCCTACTTGAGTACATAAGAACTGAAGGGGTAAACTGAAGTATTGGGTTTCTTTTAGCGTGTAAGAAGGAGTTACCTCTGGTGATTGGATTTGTGGATACTTGATTATGTGATAAGTTGACAGCAGCTTTGGTTACTCTTTTTGTGGAAGTCTTTTAACAGCAGACTGCTCAATCACTTTGGTTAATTATTTTTTTTTATTATGGTGGTTCTGATTCCTAATGCAGGAGGGTGAAGTTGAGAAGTCTCTCCTGTAGTCCTGCATCTGAAGTGCTGATCTTTGTAAAACGAGCTTTGTAAAGATCCAATTTACTGATTTTTGGCAAAGTTTTTGTTTTATTTTACCTATTTACAATACAAAACATATATGCCTCATTTCTGTCCAAAAATAAATAATAATAATGGCTAAAAAGATGGCTAACCAACAACCAAAAACCACAATGCATATTTAAGCACATAAAGCTGTTATTAAGACACAGATTAGGAAGGAGCGATCTCTGAGGAAAATACAAAAATCTTTACCTGCTTGCAGAAAACAGTGACAGAAGAGGGCAGATAGATTAGATGGGTGAAACAGTTTTACAGTTTGGGTGCTATGACCGAGAAGGTCCTCTCTAGGGTTGTCACCCATCTAATCTCAGAATGTGGGGACATCTGAAGCAGGGCCTCAAAAGATAACCTTAATAGTTTGGTAGATTGATATGAGAATAAGCAGTCCTTCAGATATTCATCCCAAGCCATATAGGGCTTCAAAGGTCAATGCCAGCACTTTGAATTGGGCCCAGAAACAAATTAGGAGCCAACGTACATGGGCCAAGACTACATGATATGGTCCCTAATGACCCTCTCCAGTCAGCAATTCTTGCTGCAGCATTCTGTAGCAATTGAGTTTTCTGAGCACTTTTAAGGGTGGCCTCTCGCAGACTGTGTTCTTGTAAACTAATCTAGATGTAACCAGGATGTGCATACAGTGACTGGATCTTTTCCTGTGGAGGAAAGGTCACAACTAACCAGTTGGAGCTGATAAAGGTACTCCTAGCCACAGCTACCACCTGTATCCAGTAGTAGGCCTGGGTCCAGGAGCATCCCAATCCTATCCAGAAAAGGTTACACCTGTGCAATGTTCCCTCTAAGCTGTTGAGTCTTGTGAGCAAAAATTCCACTTTGTGAGCTACCAGCATTAAAGCTGTGAGCAAGCAATTTGGCTGCTGCATCAATTAGTTTGCTCTGGAGCCATCCTTTCTGAGCTAAGACAAAAATCTGTGAGCCGGAGGCTAAAAAACCGCGAGCTAGCTCACACTAACTCATCTTAGAGGGAACACTGCACCTGTGAGACCTTCCACTCACCACTTGTATGTCTGGCCTTTCAGAATTAAGCTTCGGTTTATTAGGCTGTGTCTGCTCCCAAACCAGATCCCTGATCAGGATTTTACCGCTTCCCTGGCTTCTGCTAGAAGCACAAGATATTGGTGACATCCCTACTGAAACCTCCAAAATGATGTTGAAAAGCACACGGAACAAGATTGATATATTGGGGACATCCCTACCGAAACCTCCAAAATGATCTCACCCAGCTGTTTCACATAGATGTTGAAAAGCACACGGAACAAGATTGAATCTTATGGGCCTCAAGCAGCAAACCCCACAATACTTCTTTCTGAAACATACCTTCCAGGTAGAACTGGAACTGCTGCAAAGTAGTACTTTCCTGTCCCAACTCCCAATGTCTGTCCAGAAGGATACCATGATTAATGGTACTGAAAGCTGCTGAGAAATCCAGGAGAATCTGCAGAGTCACATTCCTTCTGCACCTCATCTGGCACAAGTCATCCACTAAAGGCTGTTTCAGTCCTATAACCAGCCAGATTAGAAAGGATCCAAACAATCTGCTTCATCCAGGAATTTATGCGGTTGTCCATCCACCATCCATTCCGTCATGTTGCTGAAGAATGGAAGATTTGATCTTTAAGCAAATCTCATTGGTCCAGGGTAGTGGGTGTTGGACCAACCACCCCATCTCTCACGAAGGTATAAACTACCTCTTGGACCTAGTAGGCCACCGCCTAGATTTAAGCAGCAAGGAAGGGCAAAGGTCATCCAAGCAGCTGGCAGGCCTGCCTGCAGCCTCAGGCCAAATAAACTGAAAAATATCCCAAACAATTGGGCAAGTTGGTATCTAGGCACTATCTGACCCTGCCATTTCTAATGCAGAATCTTGTTCCCTAGGCACAGGCTGTATTTCAGCTGGTGCTGGATGTCAGTAATTCCAGCTTCAGTCCTGAGTTCTTATATTGGTTTCATTGCAGAATATATTGATGTACTGTAGAACATGAAATCTTGCAAACAGCTCTCAAGTGGGCCAAATAAGCCCTTCTCTCGTTGTTCTGGAAATATTACAGTATTTAAAAATGAAGTAATTGCTAGTCTGAATTGTGATGGTAATTCATTCTTTAGCATATAAACTCTAAACTTTAATGAAATTACCTTTCAGAACTTACGATAATTGTGAGGTGTTTCCGGGACCCCATTTAAACATGATAGTAGGAGCTAATGGAACCGGTAAATCAAGCATTGTATGCGCCATATGCCTGGGATTGGCAGGAAAACCTTCCTTCATTGGACGAGCGGATAAGGTGAGGGAAACTCTTGATCATGTTGGAGTTCACTGAGATCTCTATTGTAATGTCATTACTTAAGACAGTTATAATATAACAAATGAAAAAGGTCAGATTTTTAACATGCTGTTAGCTCCTTTCAGTCCAGTTTCCTTTACATGTTTTATTTGCATTCTTTTCAGGATTAGTCTCCCACCCCCAAGTTGTCTTTTGGTGGCTATCACGCAGTGTAGCAACATGGAGAAAGATTATAAAATTGGTTGCTGCTGATTCTGTGTGGAAAAGAGGGAGGTCTCACCAAGACATAGTCAAAACAGAGAAGAAACAAATGGTGCAGCAGGAAGAGTATTTTATTGTATTTCAAACAAAGACTGGGCTTCCTCAGAGTCCTGTCAATTTCACAGCTTTAGATTCACAGGAAGCTTGCCTATAGGACCCCTTATTAATTCAACTTATCCCAAGCCAATCTCTGTCTTATCAAGGCGCCACACAATTTACAAGGACCTTTGCCAACCATTTCAGGTTGTACGCTGTGCGGTTCCTTGATAAGAGACAGATTGGCTTGGGATATGAAGAATTAATAACAGGTCCTTGAAAGATTCTTGTGAATCTAAAGTTGTGAAATTGACAGGACTCTGAGGAAGATTAGTCAGGAAAGGGGAATTGACCTAGGCAGCTCCTCCAGCGCAGTCACTGTTGTTACTCTGCATGAAGATAGTTGCAGCTTTCCTCGCAAATGACACAAGCCTCAATCGTAGTCGCTGATGTAATCTGCATAAAGTCAGATGTAGTTTACCTTGCAACTTTCATGAAGCAATGTTATAATTCCTTTATGTAGCTAGCTGATATAGAATGTAACTGTGTATCAAGCAGAAACAGTTTATCAGAATAACTTTATTGAGATTGTTAAAGCATACATAAATATTATTGTTGAGAACACGAGTTATCAAATAGTGTTGTTTTTACACAGTGGTTTTTTTGTTGTTTATACTGGTCTTTACGTTGTGTTCCCAACATATTTTTTGCCGACTCATTTTTCAGCCTTCAGGGTTCTGTATGTTAACAACCATATTTTCACACTGTTGCTACCACAAAACATAACCCTAAACTCTTCACAGTTTGTTATAATTTTGTTAAAACTATGACAAAATTGCTGCTGTATATAATAATTTGAGGTAACCCTTCTTGGTTGTCATCACCACAACCAAAAACTAAGCTCTAGCCTCTCCCCAATTTCTCATAATTTCATTATTGCTTTCAAAAGCTCCATTTAATTGAACGTTGGAACCAGTGTAAAAAGGAAATCGTTAAGAAATGAGTTAGATCTACCACCACTGAATGGTGTAAAGTTAATATATGAACAAGTAATGAGAAGAACTGGATTCACATACTTTTTTCTGTCATATAGCATAACATATGCTGATATGACAATATAAATAAGCTTTGTACTTCCATTGTGGCATTGCTTTTTTTCTTAGGGGAAAACATAGCCTACATACATGTTCAGGAAGGGAGCATGGTCCTTATGCGCTTGTGCCCCCTCAGAATGCACATGAAGATCACTTGTAAACTCTCTGCTCCTGGAAATGTAACAGTACAGAATAAAGATGCCTAGAATTGTTCTACTCACTGTTCCTGGATATTTAAATTGGCTTTCAGACACAGGAGAAAGTCTTTAGGATTTTGATTATATAAAGGCTATGCTGGAAGTGTTATCTTTCCCTTCAATTTACATTACTAACGATACTTTTCAATTCCCATATTTTCTCCTTTTATGTCAGTGGTGCAGGTCGGGTGTCATTACTCTTGTAATTGTTTCAAAGCTGATTATTTGCTGTATATATTGAGATAATTTTAAAGTAAATAGCAGTGTAGTCTTAAGCAAAGTTGAATGGATGTAACTCTGATTAGGATTGCATTGCAAATCTGTTCTCATGTTTCTTTTATTTTAAAATTAAATTAAATTTTTAAATTAAATTTTTAAATTCTGGTTTTTTTTGTAGGTTGGTCTCTATGTGAAGCGAGGGTGCAACAAAGGAAAAGTTGAAATTGAACTGTAAGTAACCAAATTTGTTCATATTTCCATTCTTTGTATGTAATGAATCACCTTATTGAGAATTTGGGGGAGGGGGGGAGGTATAGTGTTGAGATAAACTGGTGGGCATTTGTGGGGTCTGTTTCTTTTATTTCCTCCTCCTCAGCAGTATTATTTTAGTGCTGTGGATAAAAGTAATAATTCTATTCTATTCATCAGGTTCAAGATTCCAGCCAACCTCATTATCACACGAGAAATTAGTGTGTCAAACAACCAGTCAACATGGTATATCAATAAAAAACTTTCCACTCTCAAAACAGTAGAAGACCAAGTCGCAGCCCTAAACATCCAAGTAGGCAATCTGTGCCAATTTCTTCCACAGGTATGAAAGGATTACATTATTAACAGTGCAATCCTAAACTGAGTTACATCATCCTAAACCCACTGACTTCAAAGAAGGGTCTAACTTTGCTTAAGAATGCAGTGTAAGAGAATGGGGGGGGGAGAATCAGCTCTGCCTGTTAATATCTCAAGAGTACTCAGACAGAAATGAAACAATTCAGAGGGAAAGCAAAGGGACTGTGAGCAGCCCAATATGTTCTGTATTTAAAGATGGATTATTTTTGACAAACTGTGGAGAGACTAGCACAAATATATTTCTCAAGAGTACTCAGACAGAAATGAAACCATTCAGAGGGAAAGCAAAGGGGACTGTGAGCAGTCCAATATGTTCTGTATTTAAAGATGGATGATTTTTGACAAAACGTAGAAACTGTGGAGAGACTAGCACAAATATATTTCCCCAGAGCATTTAGGTTGAATTGTAGTGCTTTTGGGAATAGAACAATTGTGGGGCAAGATCCAGTTTCTGAGGAATTCCTCTTTGAAATTCTGCAGGGCTTAGTCATTGTGCTTTGTGAAGGTCTGTTGGGGTTCCCGTAGAATGTGCTGTACTCTCCCTTTCAGCTGCCTCTGCATGCACTGTTCTTCAAAGCACATGGACACCTGACAGAGCCATTTGATGGCAGATAAAGCCTTCCTGTGTCTTAGCAGAAGCAGATTTACCTCCAGGAGCTCAGCTACAGGATGCTGCCAGTGGGGTGCAAAGAAGGTTTGAGCTGCTATTAAATGGCTGCATGAAAGTGGCTGTGGAGGAAGGTAGGGTTGTTCCACATGGCATGATCATAAGATGCAAGAATGCTCATGTATATATAGGGCTGCTTTATATATGGAGTCAAACTCAGTACTGCCTGCTGCTACTGGAGCTGACTCTCTGGACTCTCACATCATCTACTATGATCTTAGCATTAATTGCCAATAATATGCTGGATATTTACATTGGTTTTATAGATTAAATTCCTATTATTTTGCCACTTTTATATAGCAGTCTAGATATTTTGTTGCCTTCTTTGCAGGACAAAGTTGGGGAATTTGCAAAATTATCCAAGACTGAGCTACTCGAAGCCACAGAGAAATCAGTGGGTCCTCCAGAAATGTATAAATTTCACTGTGATCTAAAGAATTTCAGGCAGCGCGAGCGAGAACTTGAGGTAAGTGGCTGCCAGTTTGACAAATATGAAGATTTTTTCCCTCCACTTTGTAAAGGAATACATAAATATTTCTCGGTCACAAGGGAACAGGGTTCAAGTAGAAGTCCTCTTTTAATGTTGAGAGTTTTGGATAAAATTTTCTGCCCTTGTTCAGAGAAGAGGTGCTGTTTTTGAATTACAGGCTTAGTCTGGAAAGAAGCTCTGGGAAGATAGAAAAGCAGGTCATTGCTCATCCTTGTTCATCTGTGCTTACCCATTGCTCTTCTGCTCTCTCCCTCTGAGGTTCATATTTAAGGCTAATCAGGGTTCCTGGTTTTCTGTGGTTTCTGTGCTAACATAATGGGGATGTGATGTTTAAACCACGTTAGGCTCAATGGTTAAGATGCTGAACTGCAGACCGGAAGGTTGGTAGTTCAGCAGTTTGAGACCCGAGTGCCGCATGACAGAGTGAGCTCCTGTCTCTGGTCCCAGCTCCTGCCAACCTAGCAGTTCAAAAGCAAGAAATAGGAACCACTTTGGTGGGAAGGTAACAGTGTTCTGTGTGCCTCGGCATCTAGTCATGCCAGCCACATGACAATGGAAACGTCTTCGGACAGCGCTGGCTCTTCGGCTTGGAAACGGAAATGAGCACCGCCCCCTAGAGTTGGATTCGACTGGCTTTCGAGCAAGGGAAACCTTTACCTTTTAGGCAATTCAGTATGAAGAAGGAAGGGACATTGCAATTATGTGGCTCATTCCAGATTTTCAAAAGAATCTATGAAGAAGAAGAAGAGATTGGATTTATACCCCGCCCTTCACTACCCAAAGGAGTCTCAGAACGGCTTACAAACTCCTTTCCCTTCCCCTCCCCACAACAGGCACCCTGTGAGGTAGGCGGGGCTGAGAGAGCTCTTGACAGAAACTGCTCTTTTTCAAGAACAGCTCTTATCAGAGCTACGGCTTGCCCAAGGTCATCCAGCCAGGTGCAAGTGGAGGAGTGGGGAATCAAACCCGGTTCTCCCAGATTAGAGTCCGCGCACTTAACCACTACACCAAACTGGCTCCTATGAGAATCCTAGATATGTGTGGTGGCCCTTAGTCACCTAGTTACATGGTTTACTTGTTTATAATTGGAGTATGATATGACTCCATGAGTGGCCAGCCCCCCCTTTTGGTTCTCAGAGGGCACAGCCCCAGCTTGTGTCCAGAGGCCTGTTTGACATTCAGGAATGAGAAGGGAGCTTATCTCATCACAAGCCTTCGTGTGCCTGAAGCACCATGAGAACTCTTGCCTCCAGGAGCCTGCTGCCGCCGGAAGGAGGAGAGGACTCCAGGCAAGGCTGAGAGAAACCACCTGCTTAGTCCTGCCACTCTCTATGCCACAGGCACTGAATGAACTTTTCTCTGGGAGAAATTAATGTGACTCACTTGATCCATATTGTGTGAGATTTTTAGTGCTGTTTATTGTCATGTCCATTTTAGAATGATTTTTATTGTAAGTGGATCTGGGTTCATCTTGTGGGAGAAAGGAGGGGAGGAAGCATTTTTAAATAAATATTGGTTTGGTGGTGCTGTATGGCCCCAGTTACCCCATTTCCTCCTCTGGCAGAACTCTGGGGAACTCTGGAAGCTGGCAGAACCCTATGTTGGATCTATTGCTGGAGGTGTTTCTCAGAGTTCGGGGTAGGGGACTTGTATTTGGCTGCCTTCCAGCATGTGTTCTTGTTCGATCTCACCTCAAGGTGGTGCAAGGGGTGGGAAGATATGGCGGTGGAAGGAGTGTTGGTTCCAGAAGACCTGTAGGGAGACATTAATGGTGCTCACTGGACGTCTAATTGCCACCACACTCCTCAAAATCTGCATGGGGAGGCTCTGTTAGGTGACTCCACATTGACCTTGTTGTTATGCCATGCCATGTATGTGAAAAATAAGATCTCAACCGTATCTGACCTGTTGTGTGAGGAACAGGTTGACCTGGTTTGCTTGACTGAAATCTGGCTGGATGTCTTTGATGTGGTCACTTTAACACAACTCACACTGGCTGGTTATAAAGTCCTTCACCATCCTCAGAGAGGATGGGAGGAAGTGTAGCATTTCTTTTCCATGAGTATTTTTGCACCATTAGGTGTCCAGTGCAGACAGAGGCCAGATTTGATTGTACATACTTTGTGTTGGGCGCCAGGGACAGTTTAGAGATCCTGCTAATGTACCATCCATCTAGCTTACCAGCTGAGCTCACCAAGGTGGTGTCAGTCTCAGTGGTCACCCTTGGGGATTAAAGCATACATGCTGAGGCTGCCTTGTCAGGTCCAGCTCAGGACTTCATATTTGCCATGACAACCATGGGTCTGTCTCAGATTGTAATGGGCCCAACACATGAAAAAGGATATATGCTGGACCTTGTTTTCCACACCAAGTGGCTTGCTGGTGATCAGATAAGGGGGAGGTTTGGTCCTTGTCATGGTCAGATCACTATCTTCTGAAGGCACATTTGATATTCCTGCCTCCTCCTTGCAAGGGAGGTGGACTGGTTTGTATGGCCCGCCCTTGGAGATTAAAGGATCCTGCTGGTTTCCAGGCGGCTCTGGGGGATTTGGAGAGCCTCTCTGATGACTCAGTGGAAGCCCTTGTAGCTGCATGGAGTGATGGGCTGACTGGGGCCATAAACCGTGTTCCTCCTTGGTGGCCACTTCCACATTCTGTGAGGCCTCCAGCTCCTTGGCTTACCAGGGAGCTGGGTGACATGAAACAGACTGGAAGGCAAGTGGAATGACCTCGGCAAAAGGCTTTGGTTGAATCACACAAAGCATGTCATAAAACCCATTTGCAGGCCTCCGAGGTGACAGTAATGGCCGTAAAGAAGACTTTCTTCCCTGTCACCATTGAGTCAGCAGAATCTCATCCAGCTCAGTTGTTTAAAGTGGTTTGTGGTGTTGGTATTGAAAATTTGGCCCCCTGCTGGTATTGAAAATCCCCCCCCCCGCTGTGATGTTTTTGCACATCTCTTTGCTGACAAAATCTCTCTTGTATTTTCCAGTTTGGAGGTCAAGTTGAGTGCAGATCCAGTGCCTGTGGCGTCAGAAGTACCTGCTTGTCCTTTAGTTATGGATAATTTCAGATTGATTCTGCCCATAGATACTGACCAGGGTCCTTGGGAGTGTGAGGATCACCATGTATACTCTGGATCCATGCCCATCATGGTTTTTAATATCTTGCTGGGAAAATGTATTGGAGTCATTAGTGAAAATCATAGTCTCTTTCCTGATTGATGGGTCTGTCCCTAGGCCTTTGAAAGAGGCAGTTATTAGACCTCTGCTCAAAAAACCTTCATTGACTGGGGATGAGATGGCCAGTTACGGGCCAGTCTCCAGTATACATTTTCTAGGGAAGGTGATAGAGCGTGTGGTGGCAGAGCAGCTCCAGGGCTTCCTGAATGACACATCTGCCCTTTAACAGTTTCCATCTGGTTTCAGGCCTGGGCTTGGTACTGAGATGGCTTTAGGTGCACAGGTGGACAGTCTTTGTTTAAAGTTGGTCAGTATCCCTGTTGATACTGCTGGACCTCTCATCAGTCGTTTCACTGGTGGACAGTCTTTGTTGATACTGCTGGACCTCTCATCAGTCTTTAATACACCATTTTATCTTCTTCTAACCATATATCCAGCTTTGCACACGGTTGAGAAAGACAGAATTCATGTTAAAAATCTCCCAGCAGCCATGGTCCTGAAAACAGCAATATGTACCCGGGCTAGAAGGCCTGTTGAAAGATGCATAGCACAGTGGAAGTATATAAGTATAGCATATCCAAGCCCCTTCCCCCATTCATGCCTGGCATGGGGCCAGCTAGAAGAAGTCCAGGAAAGAATCCAAGTCACAGTGGAGGTTTTGCACCACCAAACACAGTCAATTGGGATGGGCCTCTCATTCTGAATGGCTTGCACGTGCCAGTCGGTTTCATCCACACTTCCCTGTGTGCTATTCATCCACTGCATTCAGGGGGTTCATTACTTCCTGCCTGTTCCTATTCAACTCAGCATCCATCTTGTGCTCCATCCCTCCCCAACAATCTCGTGTATGGTTCTTGAGGATGCTTATGTACTTTTAAACTATTTGCCTGTCTCCTGGGGATGAACTGATGGCCAATGAAAGCGAACCATTTATGCCCTTACTGTTGCTAAAAGACTTCTATTACAACACCGGGAAGATGAATGCCCCCTCCAGTATTTCAGTGGATTGAGGGATCTTACAACCTTATCAACACATGAATGTATTGCATGTAGATGACAACTGGAAACCTTTTATAGAGGCTTACTTGTAGACTTACCACCACTGTTATATTTTAGTAGTTTTTAAAACTTCATTCTGTTTGGGTTTTTTTTAATGTATAATACAAGTTATTAAAAGGAAAATGACCTTCTCTTGTAGGCTGCCTGGCTTATAAGACACCAGCTGTCCCCTGCCCTTGTTAAAAGTACAGCGGTGCAGACTGTGGAGTGCCCTTGGCTCCCCTCCCAGTGCGAGTCTTGTGCTGAAGAGAGCTGACACCATGGGGGAGCCTGTAATGGGAGTGCATCCATATCTGCCAAACCCTGATCAGAGAGAGACTACCCTGTCACGCAGTCCGCACTTTTATATCAGGAGCAGAGTGTTGAAAGCAAGGTACAGGAAGAGGGTTGGCAGCTCTCTGGTTCCAGCAAGGGTCCTGTACCTTTGAAAACTGCACTGACAGGACATCGGTCGAGCTGTCCCTGTCACTGCATTCCCGTGAGGTAGACAATTGCACCGGTCACACAAATGTCTGTTAAGTGTGTTGCAGAGGTGCAGGAGCCAAGGCTAGAGCAAGACTGTTGGCAGACCCTCAGGAAAGCACTGAATGGACACCACCTAAGCCGCCTTCTCCCCAGGTGTGTCCCACATGCCTCCCACTTCTGTGCTAGTACAGGGGTTGCACTGGTGTGACACCAGTGTGTCTTGGCTCTGCGGCATCATATCTTGGAGTGACGCTGGCATTTTGGAGTGACGCTGGCATTGGGATTAGTTGTATCCTAAGGTGCTCTTTGTAACTTGAAATTTGTTTTTCTGACAGAATTCATGCAAGGAAAGAAATATCAACCTAGAAAAAATGAAGCAGAAGAATGAACGATATAAGCAAGATGTGGAGCGATATCATGAACATAAGCGTCATCTAGATTTAATTGCAATGCTTGAAAAGAAAAGACCTTGGATGGTAAGTTCTTAATTTTTAAGAGACTTTTTTTAAAAATAAGCTTTATCAGTAATAACACTCATATTTTCTCCAGCCTCATTAAACCTATTAGTCTAGGCCAGGGGAGGGCAAATGTTGTTTCTGGGAGCTGATTAATCCCCCCCCCCCACCAAAAAAAAGCCTTAGTGGAATTACCAGTCACAAAATTATGGGTGGGTAGGTGGAACCAATCACAATCTGGCATCTTGTACAAAAATCGCAGTGTTTTAGAACACATCTGCAATTACTGGGGTGGTGGTGGTGGGAACCATTGAATCTGTGTAACTGAGGTGAAGCCTGTCGGATAAATATGGCAGGCTTTCAGCTGGCTTGCCCATACTTTGTTCCTCACTGTTATCAGATTTTCAGTGGTTAAGTAATTTTAGACTCAGTCTTACACGGGGCACCTTTTAAAGAGTTACATATACTTCCGGACAAAGCCACTGCCTACTTTTGTGAATCCCCTTCCCCCTCTCTGAGCCAGGACCTCAGATGTACACTCCAAAGTCTGGCTGTGATGGAATAACTTGTTGACATTGCACCAAGACTTGAGAATCTTGGTCAGATGATAATGAGAGATGGTGCTTTGTATCAGCTGTAAGCTGCTTTGAGTACTGTGTGAGAGAAAAGTGGCTAATATATTCTGTTCTTACCTATTGTTATTTATTGGATTGTTTTTAATGTAGTTGTATGTGACTGTATAATACTACTGTAAGCCGACCTGAGCCCTACTTATAGGGAAGGGCGGCCTAGTAAATCTAATCAAATAAATAAAATGTTTTAAATAAAATAGATCCAATTCCTACAGGTAGCCTCAGTTAAATATAGAAAGAGGACAGGGCCGCACAGCAAGGTACAGTCTTAGGAAGCCAATGAGCAACCACTTGAGGATAATTCTATAAATACCTGTAGGCTCCAACTGTCTTATAGGAACATGTTGAATGTCACTTGCTAAAGGCAGAGCCAGAGTCTCCATGTGTTACTTAGGTGAATGCTGGATTTTCTGGACTCCATAAAGATACTGGCATATCACTGCCCATCCAGGAATGCAAAGATGGGACTCCCCCACTTCTGCTTTTTTGGGGGCCGTAGTGAATGCTAAGGAGCAGTGTAGGGAGCAAGCTTGGAGTCTGCAGTGGAGGGGGGGTGTAACATAAATGGTGACTCCCTCTTCCAAAGTCTTAAGTGTTCTTAAGTATTCAAAGTGACACTGATATATTTTAGAAGTTCCTACATACAAGAAGGATTTCATCTTGTTGGGATTTTGGTGGTGCTGAGGGGAATTCCTACATGATTTTTTGCTGTCAGTAGGTAGCCTGATATGAGCCAGTAGGATAGGGTAGGATCAAAATCCAAATGAGTCAATGAATCATATAAAATAATTGCTGGCAAAATTAATTTTGCCATAAAACAACTGTATTAGTGCTGGAGATCTGAGCTAGATTTATTTCATCAGGATCAGTGCCTTTCCTTTTGGATAACTTCCTGACCTGTTACCATAACATAACTTGTATTAGCTGGGAAATCTGGCTCCTCCACATGTGCAGAGAGAGTATTTTCCATTTCATCCTTGGACCTTTGCAGTTGGGTTCGTGAATTTTTGACGGTGTTCTTTGGAGGAGTCCCAGATATTGATCTCAAAGTTCTTGAAGTTCTAACATATGCTTCAAATGGTAGAGATTCTCAAACTGAGCTCAGAATTTTTTTAGCACCCTTTATTGATATCAGTTAAAATATTTAACTTTGTTTATTTATTGGGATTTTTACCCCGCCCTCCCTGCGAAACGGGCGCAGGGTGGCTTACAAGGGGCAAAGCCCATATAAAATAGGATAAAAGCAATAAAAACATTAATAACAATAATCACAAACAACAATTACACTAAATTGAAAGCAGGATGGTCCCCGAATATATACAATTATGGTAAAAACAGTTCTCTGGGGATGATGTTGTCCTATAGCTGATCCCAAGCAAATAATTCTGATAATATCAATCGTGCAAAATTGTGGCAGATCTTCCCGGGCCATCCTTAACCCCGATGTTGTCCACATCATTGGTGGTGGTGGTAGTGGCGGCCCCTATGTGAAAGACTGGTGGAAGAGCTCCATCTTATAGGCCCTGCGGAACTGCATAAGGTCCCGCAGGGCTCTGATCTCCTCTGGGAGCTCGTTCTACCAGGTAGGGGCCGCCACTGAAAAGGACCTGACCCTAGTCGTGGCAAGCCTTGCCTCCCGGGGGCCTTGGACCACCAGGCGATGTTGCGCCCCGAACCGAAGTGCTCTCTGGGGAACATGTGGGGAAAGGCCCTTAGGTATGTAGCCCCCTGACCATATAGTGCTTTAAAGGTAAGAACCAGCATCTTGAACCGAATTCGGTATGTTGTAGGCAGCCAGTGCAGTGCTTTTAGTGCAGGTCAGATGTGCTCCCGCATAGGAAGGCCCAACAGCAGCCTGGCCATCGCATTCTGCACCAGCTGCAGCTTCCGGATTTGGGACAAGGGCAGCCCCATGTAGAGAGAATTACAGTAGTCCAGTCTCAGGGTGACCATTGCATGGATCACTGTTGCCAGGTCATTGCGTTCAAGGAAGGGAACCAACTGCTTGATCAGCCAAAGATGATAAAAGGCTGACTTTGCAGTGGTTGCTACCTGGGCCTCCATCATTAAGGAGGCATCCAGGAGGACTCCCAAACTCCTAACCTCTGAAGTGGGATCCCTACCCTTGGGCCACTCTGGCTCAGGCACAGGATCTCTGTCTTCGTCGGATTCAATTTCAGTCGACTCAGTCTAAGCCAACCAGCCACAGCTTTCAGTGCCAGGTCCTGATCTTCTGGGTTAGCATCAGACTGGCCATCCAACAGCAGATAGGGCTGGGTGTCATCCGTGTATTGGTGACACCGTAGCCCATGTCTCTGGGCAATCTGAGCAAGGAGGTGCATGTAGATGTTAAATAGCATCAGAGAAAGCACCACTTCATGGGGCACTCCACAAATTAGCAGGTGCCTTCGGGACAGTTGTTCCCCAATGGCCACTCTTTGTCCCCAACCCTGAAGGAACACCGCCAAACTGCCCCAATCCAGATGCCTCCGAAGGTCGTCTGTGAGGGCGACCAGTACTGTCTCTGTCCCATGGCCTGGTCAGAAGCTGGACTGGAAGGGGTCTAATGCGGAGGTGTCATCCAAGAAACTGCAGCTGAATCGCCACCGCCCTCTGAATTAATTTGCCCAAATAGGGCAAATTGGACACCTGTCGGTAGCTAGCCAATTTGCCCAGGTCTAGAGATGTTTTTTTTAAAGAGAGGGTGTACCACCGCCTCCTTGAGTGCCCCCGGGGAACAGCCCCTCAGAGAGGGACTTGTTGATCATTTCCCTTAGTGTACCTCGTAGCCCATCGTGGCCAGCTTTAATTAGGTACGACAGACATGAATCATGGGCGAACAGTTAAGAGTAATTTGTCGACCTCCTCTAGGCTGAGTGGACTGAAATAATCCAGAACTTGACAAGAAGACACGCATGGAGCTTCAAGTCCACCTTCTGTATCAACTGTAGTGGGAAGGTCACGCCGGAGTGACAAGATTTTATCTGCAAAATCGCTTGCAAAAACCTCACAGCCAGTCTCCAGTTCCTTAGTGTTTGGTCTGCCCTGAGGCAGAGTAGTAATAGACCGAATCATTCTAAGTGAGCTGGGCAAGAGCTTGCAGACGCAATCGTGGCCACATAGTATTCTTTCTTAGTGGCTTTGACTGCCATCTCATAAGATCTCATAAATGTCCTGTAGGAAGCTCTTGTAGCTTCATCGCAAGCGCGCTGCCACTGTCTCTCTAATTGTCTGAGCCCTCGTTTCATCAGCCACAACTCCTGTGTATACTATGGAGTGAGCCTCAAGCGGGGGCGCAGAGGACGTTGGGGAGTGATCTCGTTGATGGCTGCCAAGTTGGCTATGCCAGTCCTTGACAAGCTCATCTAACGAGCCTCCAGGGGACAACGGATCCCGCAGAGCCATCTGGAGCTACATAGGGTTCATTTGGCTCCACAGATGAGCTAAAATGCGCTCGCTGCCCATACAGGGGTGGGACATTCACGCAGGCCCTTGGGATAGTGGTCTGACCCTGGAACTGCCGTAGCAGTAATTCGGTCCACTGCCAGAGAACCCTTCTAAATTTTTTAACACGGGGCATAAAGCCTTCCATTAGTCTGTTCATATTTTTTTTTGCTAGGTATACGAAAATGTTCGTCAGCAGTATGAGGAGGTGAAAAGAAGCCGAGATCGTCAGAAGGAAGAATTAAGAGCACTAAAAGAAGCACAGTCCCCAGCAGTACGTCAGATTCAAGAGGCTGAGGAGCGGTGTGCAAGTCTGGATGCCATAATAAGAGAAAAGGTACATATTGTGTATTTGCAGCATCACTTTGCTTGTAAGTGGCAGTGACTATAATTAATGTGGTTTAGGATTTTAGCCTGAGAGGTCCTATGAAATTAAAATGGGACCTATATTAATAAAATTACAGTTAGAAGAAAATTAGTGGGCTAGAATAATAGAATAAGAGCTCCATGAAGTCTAGCTCCTTATTAGCAAAGCTACACATTAGCCTCCAGATCATCCTACATAGTCCAAGTCATAGGAGCCTACTAAAAGATGGCACTACACAGGAAAAGAGTATCCTGGATCACTGTCTGATCTCACCTGGGAGACCATTGCTTTTTCAGCCCAGGTGAGATTTGTGGTCCTCAGACATATTTGGGGTCTGACTGGACTGTTGCTAACAGTATCTGAGTTTAGACCCAGGGAGTGAAGTTTTCAGATCAGTGTCTCTGAGGTAAGTGGCTTGTGCTGGGGAAATGATCCTTGAAGTGTAACAGATGAAAGCTATTACAGTGCGAAGTAGTCAAAGACAGAAACCCAAGCTCCTGTTATTTATGCTGGTACTAGTCAACCCAGAGGCTCTCTGCTGCTAGCCATTCAGAGAGTCCAGTATTGCTCACTTCTCTTGACTTCCCCTCTGCAGCAGGTTTTGAATATTTGCATGATAGTTCACTTGTTTAGGTCCTCCCAGGCTATGAGAGGGTCGATAGGCATGAATAGATCTCATTTATCCATTCGTTCCATGGAAGTGCTTTGGAGTATGTTGCAATGTTCCAACATCCTCCCCCCCCTTTGTAGCTGTCCATGATGCCGAAATGGAAGGTGGGTGGAGGGGCTCCCAAATATTATAGGTGAAAAAAAACCCCTCTCTGATTACATGGCTATAATGGAGACACCAGAATGCAAAGCACAACCTTCAGAAATTGATTGAACTTGGTGCTGTGGCGCCAAGGAGAATGGCAGCATAACTGTAGAGCTCCGCTCCTTCCTGCCTCTGATACACGCTAAATCGCACCACTTTTGAATTTAACTACCCCCAAATATATGGGGAAATTCGGAGAGAAAGCTAAGAAACAGAAAAAAGACACAGAAAGACCAGTCACCGATTATTTTCAACCTGCAACAACGAACTCGGGCCGAGCTGCTTGTAAAAACAACGAAGACAAGACGGCGGACGGCACACAGGAATGAGGTACGGACGATTTACAATTAGACTCACAAAACGTGTTAAAGCAGATGAGTAAAATGGAGTTGAAAATTTTAGACTCTATGAAGGCTTTATTTGAGCCAATTCAGTCACAGCTAAATGACATAAAACAAACTCTGCAAGACGTTGATAAAAAAAAGATGATCATGAAACGTCCTTAGGCTTGCAAGCTGAGGAAGAAATTAAAGCCTTTAAAACTGAAGCAACAATAACTCAAAAAAGATTATTGGCTCTAGAAATGGAGACCAGACAATTTAACTTGAAATTTCGTGGTTTTCCCGAGGAAGTGGAAGAGAAAACTGAGCTGCAAATATTCCTGGCACAATGGCTGGCATCTATTCTTAAACTTGAAGATGGCGTGGCCCCTATGCTATTAAAAGCACACAGATTGGGACAGAGAAATAAAGATAGCCGTAGAGGGCCAAGAGATATATTGGCAACGTTTCTAGATGCAAGAACTTAGAACAGAATACTAACAGAAGCCAGGTTAAACAAAAATCTACCCTACCTGAATATCAAAATAGAAGTCTTCCCTGACCTTCCCCCGGATGCTATTACATTGCGAAGGGCCCTAAAGCTGATCACCATGCAACTCAGGGAAGCCAACATAAGATATCGATGGTCTGCAGCTGCAAAATTACAAGTGTGGCATAAAGCAACATTATACACAGCCACAGATTTGGAATCATCTGTTAAGAATTATAGCTAATTTATTGATCTTAAAAAGTGTCAAAATTTCTTAGATTTATGACTTACAATGTCAGAGGCATGAAGAGCCCTGTGAAGAGTAAACGCATTTATACGCAAACAATTAAAGAGCACCCTAACATTGTCTTTCTGCAGGAAATGCATAATACCATCAAGTATCCGTGTCTTTTCAAATCACAAAAATTTAAACATCAATGGCAGTCTTACGGCTCCTCTAAATCCCAAGGTGTAGCCATCTTGATCTCAGCTAATACTAATTTTACACTTATGAAAGTACTAAAAGATCCTTTAGGTAGATTTTTATTTGTGGCAGGATGAGTAGATAGAACTGTTGTTAACACTAGCTGCCTTATATGCACCAAATGCAAATCAACTCCCATTTATGACAGAAGTTCTAAATAAGCTGGCTAATTTTAGAGAAGGGGAAGTCATAATCAGGGAAGACCTAAACTACATACTAGACTACTTTTTGGCTAGATCCTTCTTAAATAAAGTACAGAAAAAGCACATACAGTAAAAATAAAGAAATCCCTCTTGCAAAGCTGTTGCATCAGTTCTCTAATAGACACCTGGAGGCACCTGCATACAGGAGAACGCGACTACACATGCTACTCGCAGAGGCATAAAATGTATACTAAAATTGACTACCTTTTAGCATCACCTTCTATAATAAATAAAATTAAATAATCTCAAATTGGAAACTTGCAATGGTCTGACCATCATTGGGTAAGCTGTGATATAGAACTAGGACTGGAAACAAGACAAACAACATGGAAATTGAATATAAATTTATTAAAAAATCAAATCATAACAAGTGAAATAGGATCAGTCATTAAAAACTATTTCATAGACAATACTACAGAAGATGTATCCCAAGCAATTACTTGGGATGCGATGAAACCTGTTTTAAGGGGACAGTTGATATCTAAGGCAGCATATCTAAAAAAACCAAAAAACAAAAAAGAGAGAAAAATTATTAGAAATAACTGAGCTGGAAAAGAAGCACAAACAATCAGGCAATACAAAAACATACAAAAAACTATTAGCTACAAGACGAGAGTTAGACATACTTGACACTAACCAAATACAGCAAAACCTACTCTATTTACAACGAAAATCTTGGCAAAATACATCTAAGGCATTGAAAATCTTGACTAGATGAGTTAGACAGAAAAGGGAATCTAGACTAATTACTTCAATAAAAGATAAACAAGGTAACCTACAATCTGACACACAGCATATAACAAAGGCATTTTTAGAATACTATAAACGTCTATATGAAGTGAAGGAGATAAACTCAACATCTATTATATCATACTTGGAGAAATACTATAACATTAAGCTGTCAGAGGAACATAAAGCAGTAATGGAGAGCCCTATTACTGAAAAGGAAGTGATTACAGCTATTAAAAAAGCTAAGAGCAATAAAGCCCCTGGCCCAGACAGCTTTAGCTCAGAAATATATAAAAAATACCAAGAAGCAAGCATCAATAATAGTAATCCCAAAAGCAGGAAAAGATCTGACTGATGTAGCTTCTTACAGACCAATCTCCCTTTTAAATAGTGTTATTAAGTTTTTATCCTCCATAACAGCAGCATGCCTAAGTTCATTTGTGATGCAGTACGTCAACCAAGACCAAGTTGGTTTTATGCCTCATAGAGACATTACTGATAGTACCTATAAAACACTGAGTTTAATCCATTTCTGTAAGCAAAATAAATTACAATCTATTTGTGTGGCTTTAGATATTTAAAACAATTATTAAAACTTTTAGGCTTTGAAGAAAATTTTAGGCTTTGAAGAAAATATTGACGCAATATATGATCAGCCTTCTGTGCAACTTTGCATAAATGGTGCTATCTCAGATAGGTTTAAAACATGGCACCTGGCAGGGATGGCCATTATCCCCTCAACTGTTTGCCTTAGTGATGGAGCCTTTGGCTTCAAGGATTAGACTGAGTCCAAAATTACATGGGATATACATAGCAACTAAATGTTTTAAGTTATCTTTGTTCGCAGATGATATTTTATTATTTTTGACTCAACCTACAACCTCTCTATTGTCACTTCAAAAAGTATTAGAAGAGTTTGATACAATATCAGGTCTACAAGTTAATATTTTTCCAATATATTTGGAAGAGGACACTGTGAAAAAACTAAAGAAAACAGGGTTGTATAAATGGACTACAAAGTACCTGACATACTTAGGACTTAAAATTCCATTGCAGCTCGAAAATATACTTCAAGTTAACTATGACTCATTAATAGAAGAACTGAAAAAATATTATCCATGGGCATAAAATGAGCCTTTCTTGGCATGATCGCTTAAACATTATTAGAACATATGTATCACCTAAATTTTTGTTTTTGTTCAGAGTACTGCCAATAACAATACCTAAGAAGCAAATTCAGGTTTGGCAAAAAAATTTATTACATTTCTTTTTGGCCTACAAATGTCATAGGGTTAGCATGGATACAATAACTAAACATAAACTCAAAGGTAGCTTAGGCTTCCCAGATTTGTACAAATACTATCAAGCCAACCATTTATCCAACATTCTCAAAATGCTACATGACTACAAAACTAAGGATTGGATTATAATACAAGCACACTGTACTTACCCATATGATGTTCCGGAAACAATCTGGCAAACAGCCACAGAGCGTCTCAAAAAAACATATAACAGTCTGATTCTTCAGACTTTTCTAGCCACCTGGGAAAACAAAAGAAAACAGTTGATTCCTGGTTTTTCCAAATTTCAGAACCTCTTCAATCAAAAACTACTGCTACCCCCAAACTTTCCAATACACCAATAAACATGGAAAAAAGCAAATATTACAAAACTTGAAGATATTGTAGAAAATAATATTTTAATGAACAAAACACAATTAGAAGCAAAATTGGGTTCTACTATTTCTTGGATACAGTTTCTACAAATATCTCACTTTTGGTCTCCAATACAATTAATTAATATCATCAAGCGCCCCTTATCAAGTCTTGAACAAATATATAAATGGATGAATAAGTCTAGAAGACAAATTATGGCTAAAATGTACTTGGCATTAATGGACATTGAAGACCACAACTTATTGATGTACCAGAAAAGGTGGCATTCGATGTGTAATCTTACTCTTTCGGATGATGAATGGCAGCACATGTGGAAGACGTTTCCTTTCAGTACGAACATTATAGAAATAAAATTACAAACTTTCAAAATACTCACCTTTTGGTACTTAACACCCCCAAAATTAGCATACATAACATCCTCAGCTTCTCCTTTATGTTGGAAACAATGTGGTGGAATTGGGAATTTTGTCCACCGTTGGCTTGAATGCCTGAAGCTAGAATTGTTTTGGAAAGAAGTACTAGCACAAGTTAAAGTTATAACTGGTTATGAAATACAATGTACGACTGAACATATATTACTGAATAGATGGCAAATGCATATACAATCTAGAAGTACTGTTAAGAGAACAGCGATCTTATTAGCAGCAGCCAAAAATGCTGTAGCCCTACTTGGGAAAGATACTAAATGTCCACAACAACATCACTGGCATGCGAAACTCTGGAAGTTTTATATAATGTCAAAAATTACAGAAAATGTGAATGATACAAATGCATACAGATGTGCCTCAGAACATGCTATGATTTGGTTCCCTATTGTAGAATATTTAATTGATGAGGGTGAAATTCCTGCTACTGTCAATGATTTAAACTTATGGTAAAATAAGACTTCTGTATTTGCACTGGAAATCCTAATATGATATTGTATGTGAAATTTTTTGATGTATCTTACAAACTTTAATTTCTTATGTATATCCTAACTTACCTGTTTGCTAACGGTTAAATGTATAGTTTTTCTTCTTTTTACATTTATCAATAAAATGTTATTTTAAAAAAAAGAAATTGATTGAACTTGAAGGCAAGCAGCTTGATTAAAGCCAAGCAGCTTTCATCTCTACTCATAACTTCCTTTAAAAAATTTTTTTTAGACTGAGCTGTACATTTAGATAAAATATCCAGCTGTGCCATAGATCTTTATAGGTTACTTCGGCATACTAGAAGGGCCTCTGAGTCAGTCTGGTAGGGCTGTTCTGTTAGGGTTCATTTAGTCAAGGTTTGGTTTGACTTGTATTTCCTGTGTCAAATTGGCAAGTACTATTATTTTTGTTTTTGCTTGCTGAGAAATTTATGAAATCTAGGATGCACCACTGCATTCTCCTAAAGAATTGCATTTTTGCACTTTGGAAGATAATTCACAGAACACATAGGGCATGGTATTGGTATGGTAAACTGGATATCAGATTTCTTTTTACAGAAAATACTAAGTCTGATACATTTTTGGCTGGAGTGCTCTTCATTGGAAGAACATTTGAAGCAGTTTTAAATAGGGTTCTTTAGTGGAGAGAGTTAATTGTGATAAGGCTTTTTATGTTAACTAACATATATGGCATTTTATAGCTGACTTTAGTTTGTCAAGAGTAGTTTTAAATATGGTCCACATTTTGGGCTATGTAAGTCTCCCTTCAACTCAGCCCCCTTCCTTCACCAGTGAACTGTATTTAAAAATTGCTTCAAATACCCCTTGATAATGAGCATCTCAGTGCTAAAGATGTTGAGATTGGCATTTTTTGCCGCTCTTGTGAAGGACACTGTTGCTTAAAGCACATTGGTAGTTCTTATTTTTCCATTATCTTTAATTGTCATGGGTTTAATTATCATATCTTTAATTATTCTTTTTGGTTCACAAATTATATCCTTATACCATCTCTGGAGAGTACCCGTCATATAATAACTGTGACAGAACCAGATCTAATTGTTCTTGGAGCATACTATTCAAATGGAAAATATACACATATAGTCTGTTGCATTATGTTGTTTATGCTGTAGAGAGGTGGCATATTTGTGTATCTTCAATAAATTTTGATTACAATAATTTTTTAACTTTTTAAAAATTCCTGTGGTATATAGATTGCAGCTATCGAAGAAATATCCCAAAAATGCAAACAGCAACAAAATGTTTTGGAGAAAAAAGACAAACAAGTAAGATTTTGCTGGTATAATCTATATTTTTAAACTATTTTAAATGTTGATACTGTGAACCTAAGACTTTCTTGTTATAGTTCTAATCTGGCAACCATGTTCAGTTCTGCTGCAGATTTTATGGATGCAAATACTATTTACCTGAAAAGAAGATAATCCTTAATGTAGGATGTTCCTTTGGAAGAAGATGTTATACACAAAAATTTTTATTATCATGCATACCTGTAACATGTAAAACAACAACCCTCTCTGGTTCTTGTCACCACAACTAGACAATGAATTATTCTTTCAGGCAGATATGGTAATTATGTGGTGATGAACTGGAAAACTGTGCATTCATTTGCCTAGTTTTATTACTTATTCCAGGAAATGGTATATTTTTTGTTTATGTAGCTGTTGTTTTATACAGCATTTTAAATCTATAGATGTCCTGGCAAACAGGTGGTCAGCTAAGAATATTAAAGCACATTTTGGCTTTACTGACCAGCAATACAAGCTTCTTTTAAGATTTTTTTTGGATTCAAGTGCTTTGCAGTTCTTATCTCTTAAATTTTAGATAACTCTCACACATGTCTTAATTTCTGATCTTGAATATTAGCACAGTTCTGTGGTTTATCTGCCTTTGTATTATGGAAGGAACTTTTTTGTATTAACATGCTTTGAAAATATTTCTATTTTTTCTTAGATTGGGGAGATTGAGCAAGCTTTGAGGTTGAAGAGAGAAGAAAAGATGGATTGGCAGAAGAGAATTGACAACACTCGTAAGATGATAGAAGACTTGAATAATGAGCTAAGAAATACAGACAACTCTGATAATATTCAGCCCCAAGTGGATTCTGTTAATGCAGAATTGGAACGCTTGGCAGAAGAGATGGCAAATATTGATGATGAAAGAAGGGGTGCGCGCAATGAAATGGATAACGCACGTAGGGAGCAGAAAGGTAAATCTGCATAATCCTGTACTTACAGTAAACACTACTTATAATTCCACTGGAGTATTGGCTTAATAGCTGGCAGCCTGTCCTTGACCTTTCAAGTATTGAATCCCTTCTCCACTGGGTATCATGACCATGGATAGGGAAGGGAGTAATTTAACTTCTCAAGGGCTCTTTGTTGGGTCTTGTTTTACAAGGGAGCTTAGAAATCCCACTGTACTCCCTGCACAGCTCTATGGGTCCTAAATCTCTAGTTAGATCAGGTGGTTGTTGCTACAGAACTTTGCTCCTCTGGTTATCGTCACCATGTGGATGGCAGCCCTCCACAATCGGGTTGGTTTCCTGTAATGATTCAGGGACCACATTTATGGTGTCCCTTTTCGTATAACTTCTATAGGGCACTTGTGAAGATTGCAAGTGCATGACAGAATAAAGTGACACGTATATGGGCCAGATATAAACATTTGGCCCAAGAAAGTTTATCACCCCCCACCCCCAATGTTTAAATAGTACTTGAGGTTGTGATCATAAACATAACATTTAAAGCTGTCTCAAAATTACAGGGATAAAAGATCGCATTGTACAGTTTGACAATATGATGAATGTGAAGGAAGAGAAGCTCAGAGGAAGACACAAAGACACATACAATGCTCTTCTGTGGCTAAGGAAGAACAAAGACCGGTTTAAAAGACGTATCTGTGACCCCATGATGCTTTCAGTAAGCTCATTCACTTGAATATTGCACTACTTGTAGTGCCTTCCTAGGCAGAGGTACAGCTTTCTAAGCCCACTGATGTCAGTGGATTTAGAAGTGTGTAACTCTGCTTTGGGTGGCACTGTTAAGTCATCACTAAAAATTAAATGTCACTTCTGCAGCAATCCTGTTTTTAAATCCTTTCTAAATCATAGTGTTAACATGAGCTATCAAACTTTGTATGTATGTACTTTTTAATGTCTTGATTTGGCTATATGAGTGTATAATTTGCCTCATGCAACTATGCAAGTAAAAAAAAACCCAGAAGCTTTTGAAATTTTAACATGGTACATGCATATCATGTGTTGAATTCTGTGTTTGACATTCTGAAGGTACTTGTTGAGGCAGATCTGTCCACATCATCCCCTTCCCACAACAGATCTCTGTGCTCCCCTCCAGGAGTTGTGGGACCCCTGTGGACCCCCTTTGCCAGGAGTTGTGGGACCCCTGTGGACAAAAGCCCCTGGGCAGGGGGATGTAGCAAGGAGAGATAATCAGGTGAAATCACTCTACCCTCTTTTGTTTATGGAGGAAGTGCAATGGAGCAAACTTATTGGCACAAGAGTGGTTTTGGGTGGTTTTGTCCAATTCCCATCCCTCACTAGCCCCCTGAACCTAATGGCTCTTTGCTCAAGGGAATCTCCAGACCTCCAGCATCACTTTTTGGAAAGTCACAGTGGGCTGATGTGGAAAGACTGGAAAGGTCTGTCTCTGTGAATTCCTTCTTCTTGGGCAAGTGTAGAATCCACCCCATGGATTGCAAGCAGTATATCGTCAGGAAATTGGATGCCAGAATCTATGTTAACAACCTCTCTGTGTTGGTAGGTTAGTCCAGTGGAAAGGATGGCTCCATCCCCCTTTATTAAGGTTACTAATTTTTGAGAAAAGCATTGTTGTTTTGGTTTGAAGTATTTATCTGTTTAGAGATGTCTGTGAAAGCTAATGTGCAGTGCTAAAAATCTAGGATTGGAGGCCTGTGAAACTTTTTTTTTTAACTGCTTATTCTGGATCTGATAACTGAACTAACCAGTTCTATTTGAGTAGGTTGTTTTGGGCTGCTTTTAACGTCAGAAAAGCTTTTTCATCAAAATCAAAATGCTGTAGTTCTGTCCGTTCCAGGTCATTTAGTCATGAGGTTACGTGGCTGTGATCTGATCAGTTTAATCATAGGCATATCCTGATCTAAGGACCATTAGCTTTCTCCTTCAGGCCTGGTTAATTGCAGCCAAGTTCATGTCGTTCAAATGAGTTTTCTGCAATATGTATTGTTCAAGTCAATCCTTGTTAGATCAAAAATTCCTACGAGTGTGTGGATCTTTCTGAATGCCCAGAAAAATTCCTTCTTCTCAGAACTTTGGGTTGTTCTTGATGTATTGAAGCTGCCTGAGCTATGTAGTACCAAGGTACACTACACGTTGTTTGCACAGAGCTCCCATTCTCCCATTACTGGTGTAACAAAGATGAAACTTTAATGAGACTTATCCCTGCACAACTCTTTGTGAAACATGCAGGTAATGAGAAGCCATTGGCTTCTTTCCACTCACATATTACTCTTCTGGAAGCAGGAATATGGCTGGCACAGGGAGGAGCTGTAGCATAGGCTCTTCCTACACAATCTGAGTCTTTTTATGTTGTCTGAATGATGCAGGAAGGAGCAGCACTGTAGAAACTCCCATGCTGCAAGGTATGAAGTGAACCACAGAACCATCACCCATAATTAAAGCGTTTCTATATCTTTGTCACAACATAATGAACAATGGATCAATGTTTGTACTGTTTATTATTTCATGTAAAACCAATTAGTTCTAGAGAAAAACTTGATAGCCTTGATGGTCCATAGCAAAATTAAAAAACAAATTATGCCCAACCAAAATAACAGAACAAACTGTGCAAGCATCAGCGTTATACAGAATGCTTAATCAGGCTGGCTGTAAAAAGCAAAACAAAAAACGGGAGAGGGGATCTTATTTATTTATTTATATTTATAACCCGCCCTCCCCGCAAGCGGGCTCAGGGCGGCTCACACTGCCTGGCTCAATGCCAGATATATAACATATTTAAATATATAACATATTTAAACTTAAAACACTATTAAAACATTTTTAAAAAAATTTAAACAACATTCAAATAAATCTTAAGGCCCCTTTTCTAGCATCCTGTGTAAAATACATTGCTGGATTAAATAGGCACAGGGTGTGACTGGCTGGCATCAGGATGTGGCCTTGGCATGCTGGAAACAAGAAGCAAGAAACAGAAGCCCTCCAGTTGACAATCTAAAAGTCAGTAGTTGATCAAATCTCTGAAGCTAAATGATCTTAGTAAAAGGTATTGCATAGGTTTTGGGTTCTTTTTCCTCTGAACCAACAAGGCTACCTACTTTTTTGTCTGCTTTGAAAGTAACATGTAGCTGATTAAGAAAGGAACCCTTCAACCGGAAAAAAAAAGAAATTGGGGAATTTCCCTACGCAGTAGATTGGTTTATATTGTCTCTTCCCTTAGTGCATTATCTTAAATTAACCTTCAGTATTTAAGGACTGCTACATTGTCCCTTTTTTCTTAGCCTTTAAGGAGTTATCCATTCCGTAGAGATCAGAAAGACATTTGATGAACTTTTGGCTTTTTAGATTTTCAGTTGGAGTGCTTCTGTTTTTTGCTTCTTGTTCTCAGCATGCCGAAGGCACATCCTGATGTTAACCAGTGACACCTTATGCTCACTTAATCCAGCAAAGCATTTGACACATGATGTTGTCAGAGGCCTTAAAGTCATGGCTGGAAAGAGATTTTTATCTCCTGCCTCGCCCTTTTTTTACCATCCAGTCAGATGACAAATTCTGAAAAACTCAAAAGCTTTCACACTGTTACTGTTATGGTTGGTTTTAATAAAAAGTAAATGGAAATTGTTTTCAGATTAGGTAGTACTTCTCCTTTTCTTAAAAGCTGAGCTTATTATGTTAGAATACCTCCCTCACCCTCAAGTAGATTTCATTATTATTTTTCTGTGTATTTCAGCCTCACTTTTTAAACATTTGCTTTGTTTGTTCCTGTACAGATCAATATGAAAGATCAGAAGCATGCTAAATACGTAGAAAACCACATCTCATCCAATGATATGAGGGCCTTTGTCTTTGAAAGCAAAGAAGATATGGATATCTTTCTAAGAGAGGCAAGGATATAGCTGTTCATAATTCAAAGCTGATTTGATGGAGGAAAACCCAGAGTGGAGAGTCTAGCTTAAAAGTAGGCTGTTCTTTTCATAGCTAGGATCCAGCATTGTTTATTGTTATGACAGTAGCATGAAAAAATGTTGAAGAGCAGCTGTTATTTCTTTCCTTACATGGCTTAATTGCATCCCATTTCTTCCTATCCTCAATTGGCACCTGAAATACTCTTTGGAGAAAATATATATATATGCAATTAGCTTATTGAATCAGAAACAACCCATTCTGCTAGAGTTGACAACCTCCAGGTGTGGCTGGGAGCAATGTGGCTGTGGAGGCTTGTGAGCAAAAATTCTACCATGTGAGCTCCTGGCATAAAAGCTGTGTGCGAGTGATTTGGCTACTGCATAAATTAGTTTGCTCTGGAGCCCTCCTTCCTGAGCGGAGATAAAAATGTGTGAGCCGGAGGCTGAAAAACGGTGAGCTAGCTCACACTAACTCAGCTTAGAGGGAACACTGGCTGGGAGATCTCCTAGAATTACAACTCATCTCCAGACTACAGAGATCAGTTCCCCTGGAGAAAATGGCTGCTTTGGAAAGTGGACTCTGTGGCTTTATACCCCACAGAAGTCTCTTCCCTCCCAAGCTCTACCATCAAATCTCCAGGTATTTTCCCAACTCAGAGCTGGCAACTCTACATCCTGCATTTACTTGATCAAAGATTGCTTATAAACACAGTGTGGACAAAATAAAAAGATCCATAGACACTCATGTTTGATTTTAGGTAGAAAAGAGCCAGGAATTCACAAAACTTATATTCAGGTACTTTAAAGCTGGAGTGTGCACAAATTCAGCTTGCTCATGAACCTCACTTCTTCCTTCTTGTGTAAAAGTTAAGAAAATAACTTCATTTTCTTGTGACGTATGAATGCAGGCGCTTGGATTAACTGGAGTTAACTCCCCCCCCAGGATTCTAAGTCTGGATTAAACCCTGGTTGGTGAGGGGAACATGAGCTTCAATTAACTCATACACCTGCATTCATATTTCAGAAGTAAGCAGAGTTATTTTTGAACAGTAATTACCTGTTTGAGAAGGGAGGAGTAAGGCAGGTACATGAGTCCAGCAAAAAGGTCCATGTGCATCCTGGTTTACTGCAAGCTAAAGGTAATGTCTGAGTGCAGCCATAGAGGACATGAATGGTTTTGCTGTCAATTGGACTTCATAATGAGAGTGGTAAATTTAAACCAGCGTAGTGGAAACAAAAGAGTGGGATTTTTCAAACCCATTGCAGTCTGTCTCCTAGACTGGAGTAATGCCTGCTTTCTAATTCCTGAACCACTAAAAAGCAATTCCACCATGCCCTGTAATAAGTGTATTGCATGTCTTGTAATTGTTTTTTTAAGGTTGGTAAAAGTGCTTCATTTTGGTTTAGGTACGTGATAATCTAAGACTAAAAGTGAATGCTGTGATTGCCCCTAGTGAATCGTGTGCTGAAAACAGACCTTCCAAACCAATTGAAGAACTCAAGTAAGTGTTAAAACATGTTCTTAGAATGAATCTTTAAATACTATTCTTTGGAGAAATCTATTTCCAGTAATTTAGGTGTTGAAGGAAAATATATTTTAGTCTGATTAATGATACTAGAATCGGCTAATTGTGGAGCTTTATCGTTAGATAGCAAAGGAAAACAATGATTTGAGCTGATGGTGGGAGAACTAGTATCTAGGAAATTGTCCATTCTACTTTGTTTTCTTTGGGGCTCTGGGAATTCCTCAAAAGGGTGATGTCTCTAAGACAAACGTCCACTCCAAAATCAAATCAAATAAATTGCTAGTCAGGTTTCATTTTTATGACATTTCAAGATGTCCTTAGGGGAAAATTTATATCAACTGCCTCCCATTTAAAGAAAGAAAGACACCTTATGAAATCAACAATTATAGATAAGACAAGAGGACACACCCGCAAGAAACTCGCAGAAGCAGCTGACTTATTTCAACCATTTTTGATTCCTCCTCTCTCCCTCCATTTCTCAGTGTCTCTCACTTTTTTCTTGAACCCCTTTCTTACTTTCTGTCTCTCTCCCCCATATCTGCTATAATTCCTTCTTTCTTTCTGCATCTCTCACCCCATCATTCTCTTTCTCTCTTTTTCTTGCTGATTGGCCTCTTTCCTGCTTCACTGGATGCCACTCACCTGTTCCCCCCCACCTCAACAGCATTAGCAGCAGCTTGTTCAGCCCCCCTCCCCTGCAGTTTTGCCAGCTGGGCAGCTCACCTGGCCGCTGGGACTTTCCCTGCCATGGTGCCTGTTACTTGCCTCCACCCACCCCCCACCAGCTTCACTGGCTTAGCAGCTCTCCAGGCTCCTCACCAGCCTCTTCCCTGATGCAGTGGCTACCACTCATCTGCCTCCCCCAGGCTCACTGTCTTGGCAGCATTAGCAGCGGCTTGCTCACTCTCCCTGCGTGCAGATTCACCACCTGGGCCCTCTTATGTTCACTGCTGTGAGGCGCTTGCCATTCACCTCCTTGTCCCCGCTAGCTTTACCACCTTGGCGGCTCTGCTGGCTTCTAGTTTGTTCTCTTTGCCATTTCTGCAGCTCACCTGACCATACACTCAGCCCGTTCACTGCCACTCTCCTGCCCACCCCTGCCAGCTTTGCTGGCTGCTCACCCAGCCCCTCTTCTGTGGTGTCAACCCCCTGCAGCGCCTCATTGTCTGCCTCACTGTCTGCCTCCCAGTCTCTTTGCTGCCTCTCTGCTGCCTCAACAGCAATGGCAACTCCTCCCCCACCCGCCGGGTGGTTGCTCAGCAGTTGGGGCCGCTGTGGCGGTTCTCCCCGCGGCTCCATCGGCTCCTCCTGGCAGTCTTAGTGGCGACATGTGCAACAGCACAGCTTCCCTTGGGCTCCAGAATCTTCTAACATGGATCAGTAAGTATGTTCTCTGCACATGTGCAGAGAACGCTGTTTTACTTTTGGGGGATTTAAGTATCCCCTGTATATTTTTTTAAAACATGTCAGATTTTTCTGCACGCCTGGAGAGTGCCCCAAATATGCAGGAATTTCTGTTCACCTTCTGTGTGCCCCCTATCAGCAGAAATAAGTATCCGCACATAGGGGGAACAGATGGGAATTAGATATATAGATAAACCAACTAGAAAGAGAACACAAAAAATAGGCTGTAAACGAATTTACAAAATATTATTAGCAGAATGAAAAATTCTAACGTTATTGGAAACATCTCAAACACACAAAAAAATCAAATCTTTGTGAAACAATTGTTAAAAATCGGCTAAAACTTTGAAACTGCTTTCCTGGAGAGTGAAAAAGTAAGTACATAGGAATCTCAAGTTTATGAAGAACTCATCTGGAAAATTATGTTCTAATTAAATTATTAAAATACTAGCTACTGATTACAACTCTTTATGTAAATCTCAAAAAACCCACAGATCTAATTGTAAATCATTTATGCTCCAAAAATATCTCAAAACAATTTCTGGCACTCATAAGGTTCTTCTGGAAAGACCTATATCCATTCAGGAGATACAAGACACAATAAGATCCTTAAAAAGACACCTATCCTGGAAATGACGGTTTCCCATCCAAATTTTATAAGGTCTTTAGGTTTAGCAGGACCCCTTACCAACATCTGTAATCAGGCTTTAATTAATGGTGATGTGCCACCTTCATGGACAGAAGTCACTTTAGTCATTATACCAAAAGAGAATAAAGATTTAACCAATCCAACTTCTTATAGACCATTCGTGTTGCTAAATCAGGATGCAGAAATCTTTTCAACAGTAATTGCAAATAGACTCAAATTATCCCAGACTACATTAACTTAGATCAAATGGGTTTTATCCCTAGAAGACACCTATCAGACAACATCCGTAGAACTCTCAGTATAATAAATTATTGCAAGATAAACAGGAAGTTCTTACTTTCAATATAGAGAAAGCATTTGACACTTTAAAAATACCCTACCTTAAAGTTTTACTTTCCCGTATGGGTTTTGGCAACAGTGTTTTGAGAGTGATCCATGCAATCTGTAAGAATCCAACTGCTCAAGTAAAAACCAGTGGGATTCACTCTTCTTCATTCCAACTAACAAGGGGTACTAGACAAGGGTGCCCGCTTTCCCCTTTACTGTTTGCACTATCTTTAGAATCACTAGTGGAAATGATACAAAATAACCCTTACATACAGGGTTTAAAAATTGGAGGAAAAGAACATAAAATAAGTCTCTATGCAGATGATTTGCTGTTATATATCTCTGACCCGTGCAATTCACGCCAAGCAATACAAACCAGTATTAAAGAATTCAGCCATATCTCAGGTTAAATGTTAGTCAAAGTAAATCAGATCTTTCCCCCATAGGTTTATCTCAAACTGTAACCACACTAATTAAAAGTAAATACTCTTTCAGTTGGATCAGCACATTGTAGCACTACTTAGGGATTTATATCCCCCTGGAGCTAAGGGACCTGATAAACTGTAATCATAGAAAACTTTTCCAGGATGTAACAACTCAACTAAAGAACTGACACAAAATGAATTTATCCTGGCCAGAGAGATTACATCTTATAAAAAGCTTTATTTTATCACTAAGAACTAAAATGGCAGAAAAGTTTATATAATTTTGCCTGTGCATTCATGACACCAAAATTTAGAAGTGACATATGTAAACCTGCAAACCGAGGTGGTTTCAGTTTTCCCAATTTAAAGAATTATTATTTAGCAGCGAATCTCACAAATATTCTTAAACTGTTGTATAATGATCCTATAGAAGACTGGATACAAATTGAACAGGACTTTGTAGCCCCACATTCATTACAAGATGTTATTTGAACTAAGCCTCACCTTAGAGCATCTCAAATAAAAAAAACCTTCATTTCTTTACAACTCACTGAAGATATGGGACAGCAGATGTCGAAAGTTAGCTCCAGACAATTCTTTGTCATCTTTTTTTTTTTACATGAAAAATGGTGTAAACCAGGCAAAGAAGACAACGTTTTTAAAAAATGACAACAGGTGGGAATATCTCCTAAGTGACCTGACCAAAAATGGCGAGATCCTAGAAAAATCTCAATTAGAATGCCAATGAAAGAAAGTAATCCCTTGGTTTCATTACTTCCAATTTAAACATATGCTTGATCACTTTAAGAGCTCAGGTATGGTCAAAACAGAGGATTAGTATCAAAAATATGCAAAATCTTATCAGCATTAGACAGCTCAAAACCTTTAAGAAATTAGAAATTATGGAAAGAGGTCTGCAAAATTGACATCTCCAAATCCCATTGGGAGAAAATATGAAAATCCCCCAACTCCAATTAGGCTTACTTCCCAAAGTGTTGGGAAAAAAATGTAACCATCTTGGGAATTATTTTCATTGGTGGCAAGATTGTGTATTTATAAATTTTTAGCAAGAGATAGTACAGATCAAGAAGATTACGGGCCAAGAGATACCCCCCACAACTGAATATTTTATTGACTCACTGGCCAGATTTAAATCTGTATTCTTCAAGACTGGTCTTGGTCACCACCTTACTAGAAGCAGCTCAAATTGCAGTAGCTTCCAAATGGAAAGCCAATTCAATATCCACCTTAACGATTTGTCATGATAAAGTTTGCAATCAGTTTATTATGGGGAAAGTTGGAGATGGCTTAACCCAGTCTAATTCTGGCAATTATCAATCAAAATTTGTTGTGATATGGTTCCCGGTGTTACAGTACATGGCTGTCCACAAAATAATTCCATCAAACCTTTATTATCAGGATATATTGTTTCTGTAGAATGACTATCATCTTATAAGACATGGTATACTTCTGTTGTTTGGACTGTGTTTTTCTTGTATTGCACTGTGTGGACTCACCTATAATGCTGAATGTATTTGTTCCTTGTATAGCTGAACTTCTTTGTTTATGTATAATATACAATGATAAAATAAAATTTAAAAAAAGAAAAAGAAAGGGTTCTTTTCTTTCCCATAATAATAACCAATTTCATGCTCTATTCATAAGAAAACCCCTGTCCAGAAGAACTGGAGGCTCACAGAGCGTATTTTTCAGCCAACTGAACCAGCTAGGCTGCTCTTTAAAATAATAACAATTAAGAAAATAAGTTAACAAATAAATAGAAATGCAATACACAGCCTGCAACTTTATCTTCAGGGAGCACAGCAAAACGGCTTCAACTGGCCCTGCGGGATCCGATGCCCCCTGGCGGTTCGTTGGATGAGCTCGTGGACGACTGGCATAGTCGATTTTCCATGGCCATTGATGCGATCGCTCCCCAGCGCCCTCTACGCCCTCGCTCTAGGCTGGCCCCCTGGTATACCCAGGGGTTGCGGCTGATGAAGCAAGAGCTAAGATGGTTAGAGAGACGGTGGCGCCGAGCCCGCGATGAAGCTACAAGAGCATAATAGGATGATTGAGATCCTATGAGATGGCAGTCAAGGCTGCGAAGAGGGATTTCTACGCAGCTAGGGTTGCGTCCGCAAGCTCTCACCCAGCCCAATTATTTAGAA